TTTTATAATCTAGAAGTTAAAATACAAAATGAAAATAAATTTTTAAAATTTAGAATTATACTACCAGTATATACAAGTTAGAAAGTATAAAATGAAAATAAATTTTTAAAATTTAGAATTATACTACCAGTATATACAAGTTAGAAAGTATAAGAAGAAGAATTGTAAAAAAAAAAATCAAAATTTAAAAGATTAAAAAATAAAAATAAAGAAAATGACAAAAATACCCCTAAACCCAAAAACATGTGAAAAATGGATTTCCGTCACTATTTAACGACCACAATTAATAGAATAATCTGAAATGGATTAAAACTTTAGTAAGGTAACTTGTGTTACAAATAAATTTAATTGATGACCTAGAGTAGAAATATATTAAAGGTTGATGACTTGTTTTGAGGTTCACTCTTTAGTAAATTGATATACAATTTAAAAACACTAAATTAAATAAGGTTACATTAAAAGTAGTTATTTGCGCTACTTTATTACAGAAGAAAATAAAGGGATCCATATATCGATATACATGTTAAAATATATTTTGTATTCACAATTTGACATCTTTGACCACGCTTGTTGTTTATGATATGGTACCATTCCGAACAAAGTATTGGAAATCAATGAGATGATTCAGACTTTAGAGTCACCTTCGGACGCATGAGCCAAACTTGAAAATATGATCACGCTTAGGCAACAACACCATAAATCACACTACTGACAATTAATCTCCATAACCACCCTGCCTTCTCTAATTTATTTATGTAAGATCCTCCAAAGAAATAAATTACACCATAAGGTAAGATAATTTTTTTAAAAAAAAAAATTGAAGCAAAAGTTTCATATTAACACCTGACAGTTAAATAGGTCTACCTATCACTGTGCCCTCTAATTTCATTTTCGCGAATCATCATCATATATTTTGCCATGCTGTCTCTAAAAAAAAAAAATCAAATATTGAAATTATTAATCAAGATTGGCAAAGAAACTCACCATGAATGAGCATTCGAAAATCCTTGCAGTAGAAAAATGTTTGCCCACAGCTTGCAAAAGTTAGAAGCGAAAAACTTTTGAAACCAGAAAATAATGATTATTAAAAAGAAAAACATAGATCCTAAAAAAGAAAAAGAAAAAAAAAAAGAAGAAGAGGAGGAAAAGTTTTCAGTGTAAATTGGGATTGCAAGCCAGTTGAGTTTTATAAACACACCTTATAAATACATAATAGTTTTAGTCACAGGATTAATGCGATTGGAGTTATTTTAAGCATATGTTCATATTTAATTTTGTTAAAATAAAGGGAATGGATTTCCGTGTATGCAATTATGACACATGATATATCTCCAAAAAATATCATCCACAAGTTCATTCAAATTCAAACTTATAGTTAGATATTAATGGATTGATTTAATTTGAATTTCAAATAATATGATAAAATTAAATTGACTCAATTAATATCATTAATCAAGTGGTTATTACGGTTTGATTTGTTTTTTTTATCATTAATCAAGTGGTTATTACGGTTTGATTTGTTTTTTTTTTTACTTTTAATTTTAAATTTTACTACAAATTAGGCTTTTTTATAGATGATCATAAGCAAAATAAGACATGAATGTAGTTTGGGCATTTTTATTTTTTATTTTTTGTAAAATCTGGCCGAGAATTTTAATTTTTTTCTTAATGAACGAATTTTATTTATTATTATTTTTTTGAAAATTTGGCAGAGAATTTTATTTAGGAATCTCTAATTTTTTCTTTTATAGAATGGAATTTTTTTTTTAATTAATTGAGATGGAATAAATCATGAATGTAGCCATAATTTGGCCTTTAGTTCGTTCATTATAGAAAAATATTGTTATCAAATTAAGGTGAATTTTATTTAAGAATGTGAGAGCATTTAATACTAAAATTAATTAATCTGAATAATTATGATGATTGGGGTGGTTCAATATTATTGATATACTTCAAGGATTATTAGCATAAATTCAGAAACTATTTTTTCTCGGAATTTTAAGGAATTGACATGTAGTATTTTTGCTTACTTGGCACTATAGAAATATGTTTTTAGTTTCTCTCTCTGGTTTCTCTCTCTGGTTTCTCTCTTAGTATAACTAGTGTTTATCCCACACGTTGTGCGGGTTGTTCAAGATATAAATGAGTTTAATGATCTATTGATTATATGACATTTCTAACGGAGTGATACATATTAAAAAATAATATTAATGATAAAAATTGAAATTGTGTAATTCTTAATGTCAATATATTTTGTTGTTTTAAATACATTTGGAATAATTTTAATATTTGCAATCATCTAATACCTTATTATCCATCTTTTGTGTTTTGTTGATTTATGGCTTTATATCCTTAAAAAATATACTCTTACATAAATATTTCTACCCGTGTCACATCTTTTAAATTTTTCCTCTAACAGAAAAGTTTTCAATTACATATTTCAATAAAAATTTATCTATTTTCTATCTCTCTATATACCTTTTGCAACATTTCATTAAAAGTTTGTTTGTATATTTTTCCTATAATATATTTTTTAGTTTTTTTTGGTTATATAGTCTTAGCTTTTTCTTTCTAAATATAATTACTTCTCTTTAAAGCTTAATTTGTTGATACTTTTGTAATAACTATTTCATTTTTCACTATTATCTCGATTTTTTTTTCACATTTTCCTTACTCTTTACATAAGTTTTTCCCCCATATAATTGTTTCAATTTCTTAATATGTTTTTTTAATAAAAAGTCAAACATTTATAACCAAAAAAAATATATAAAAATGAAGCTAGTGTTTACCCCGCTCGTTGTGCGGCTTTTCCAAATATATATGAGTTGAATAATTTAACAATTATATAACATTTTTAATGGAGTGATATTCATAAAAAAATATTATTAGTGATATAAATTGCAATTGTGTTATTTTTAACGTCAATGTATTTTGTTATTTTAAATACATTTGGAATAAATTTTACTATTGGAAATAATCTCATGTAACTTAATGTCCATCTTTATGTTTCGTTAATATATGGCTTTATATCTTTTAAAAAGTATTCTCTTATTTTTTGTAATGATGTCTCTAAATATTTCTATCCGTGTGATATGTTTTAAACTCTCCCTCTAGTAGAAAATTTCTTATTATTTTTTTTCATGAACTTATCTTTATTTTTCATCTTTCTATATATCTATTGCAACCTTTTTTTGGAGGTTTGTTCATATATTTTTCATATAATATAGTATTTATTTTTTTTCTTGGTTGTAAAGTCTTCACTTTTTTCTTATTAAATTTGACGACCTCTCTTTAAAACTTCATTTCTTGACAAATTTGTAATAACTTTTTCATTTTCTACTGTTATCTCTAGTTTCTTTTTTCATTTTTCTTATCCTCTACGTAATTTGTTTTCCATATAATTGTTTTAAAATTCTCAAATATGTTTTTTCTTCTACTGTTTGTCTCTCACATAAACCTTTATTATTTTTTCTCATTTTGGAAAACTTTCTCCTTATTAATTCTACATTTTTTTATCATCATAACATTAACTTTTTCTACCATTATGTTATATAAAAAATAAAAAAGATATAATTAATCATCTAAAGATGTATATATATATATATTGTCTTGTTACAAATTACCAATCTTCATTAAGGTTAGAAGATTCGTTAATGAAAATCACATATCACACTTAAATTCTAAGATGCATATGCAAAAAAATAAAGGCAAAAAAAAAAAACTATTTAACACCCGTATTAATTCTCTTTATTAGGATAAAACAATTTTGATTCTAGACAACCAAAAATATACATCTTATTATTTTATTTTTTTATCTAGATGTATTAATGTTATATGGAATAAATTAATTAACATTTATTTCTTATAATTTTTTTAAAAAACTTTTTGTATTTGATACTAATATTTAATTATATTAAATCTAGGAATAAACACAAATAATCTAGCAACCAATCTTGGGGTCAGTCATATTTAAATTAGTGCACCAAGCTGATGAACCAAACAATCCAATCATATCAAACTAATAAGCTGTGCTAAACTAATAAGTTTATTTATCTAAATTAATAAACTTATTTACTTTTTTAGATTCGGCTGAGTTATCAAAATCTAAGAAATTTAAAGCCAATAAGTTTACTAAACTTATTATTGCTTAGGTTTTGATTGATGACTAAGCTAAAGCACCCGACTAAATTGTTTATAAATTTAACTAAGTTGTGCTAAGTTTTTCTTTAGGTTTTATGAAGTTAACTAAATAGTTTTGTTTTATCAATTGTGTTTCTCTTCATCGGGGTGTGTGGGTTGGGGAGGGGAGAGGGAAGGAACCGACAGAATACTACTAAAAAATTAGGAAGTTAACTTTACTTTTTTAACTTTTGTAATTATTAGTTAATTTAGCTTTATTTACAATTTTTTATATTAAAAATTTATCATTAAATGATGGAGTGATGTGCTTGTGACATGTGGACTTGGGCATCTAATTTTGCGCCACGTGGATTAGCCTATCTAATATCACGCGATATGTCCGATTGAAAACTCTCCTTTAATATATTAAATATATATATATATATATTCTATAGATAATATATATAGATAGATAGATAGATATATATAATTTTTTACCGATTAAAACTCAATAAATACGAAATATCTTCGAAAATAATTTAATTTTGAAGAATATTTCAAGATACTTAACAAGTTTAGAAAAATGTTTTCCAACAGTGATCTAATCACCAAAATAATGCACAGGATTGGATCACCATACATTGAGAAGTAATTGATTTTCCCTTGCCAGTATCATAGTTAAACTGCAAGAACAAGACCTTAACAAAAAGAAAAAAAAACACTGAACAAACAAAGTGGTCAAGTGAAGATTGACAATTGTCCATCTAGTCAACACATAATTTCCCGAGCAGTCAAACAATTTTCAATTTTCTTTGTATTTTTTTTCCCATTTTCTTTTTTAGCGGATAAAGACAAGACAGACCAAGACCGAATGACGGAAGCCCAAATATAGCGCCCGTGTTAAAGTCCCGGCATTAAAGCGAGCGGGAGGGAACATAAAATAAAGAAAAAAAAAATCACTTCTTCCAACTCACTGTACTCTAAACCACCGTATCACAGTGGTGGTAAGGAGTAGGAAGTAGGAGTGGTATTTTCCAAAAAAAAAGAAAAAAAAGGAGTAGGAAGTAGCGGCCGATTACCCAATTCTGGTAGCCACGGTTTTCGCCTTGCCGGAATTTTCGTAGTTGTAATAAGGAGATAGCGGAGGAAAAAAAAAGGATTAGAAATGGCGTCGCCGTCGTCTCCGACTTCGTCGACTTATTCATCGCCTGACTTCGGTGCTCCGTCCTCGGATTCCGCCGTGCTCCCCATATCGGCGCTGAGAGACAAGATCATAGAGAAGATTCAAGAGAATCGTGTGACTCTCATCGTCGGTGAGCCTGGTTGCGGTAAGCACCGATTGCTATGTTCCCTCCGTTTTTTATTTTAATTTTTTGTTTTCCGCCGCTGTTTGATCACTTGTTTCTCGTTCGCGTGCAAAATTTGTATGAATTTTTGATGTGTTTTTGATATTGCTGGTTTGTTTTATGCGTTTCTGATGGTTTGATTTTAGTTGTTTTTATGCGTTCGAGGGAATTCTGTGGCTGAAATGCGCGATTTATCACAGCAATTAGGCGACGTAATATTTTGGTGTTTTTGTTGATATCTGTTAAAGGGACTTGCATGTTGCTTCTGAGTTCCGAGTGTTTATTTTTGATTCATGCATTGGATCATTTTTGTTCGAAAGCAAATTTGTCGTGAGTTGTTCTATAGGGTTGGTAGGACACGATTTTATTTTTGGTTTTCCCCATTAACTGTAAAGTTTGGAGTGGAGTTGTAAAATGTTGTACGCAAATGAGAAGTTCCCTGACAAATCAAAGCCATTAGTTGAATTCTGATGCTGCTATATTGAGCAAATGATCCAATAAATTGATTGAGTCAGTTATTTATTATTATTATTATTACAATTATTTCGGTTGGTTGTTGTTTATGTTATTGTGAAACTGAAAGATTAAATGAAAGGGTATGCATAATGGCTTTGTTTTCGTATGAATTAGCCCTAGAGCAATTCAGTCAGGTATAGTTGTTGTTTTTAACATCCATTGATGTGCTTCTTAATTAAGTTCATTCTGTTTTTAAAAATGGTGGTTTGTTGGAAAATTGTGCATTTTTGAAAAGACTTCCTTACTATCTATTGTGTAGTGATATATTTTCCTTCTGTCAATAAGGGAAAAGCTCACAAGTCCCCCAGTTCTTACTTGAAGAAAACATGGAACCCATATTGTGTACACAACCTAGAAGATTTGCGGTTGTTGCAGTTGCCAACATGGTCGCAAAGGCTCGAAACTGCGAAGTTGGGGAAGAGATTGGATACCACATTGGCCACTCAAAGGTTTTCTCAGAAAGGTAGTTTGACAGTGCCACAGAACATTAATTTCACATTTGCTGTGTTGAAACTCGTGAGAGGATTGTATTTGGTGTCAGCTTCACACAGGTCTTCATTTTGGCCATGGTCTTAAGTTTATGCTGCTCCTTACTAGTAGTGAGCTTGTTCAAACATAAAACTCAATAATTCAATCTGAATTGAGAAACTTAATCATGCGGACAGAATTGCTATCATCCTGATCTGTATAGTGTCTTGAGATAGAAACTTTAAATTTCCATAGAAGCAATTTCACATTTCACTTATAAGAGTATATCTGAAACTTTCTAATAATGCTTCAGTCTGAGCCCACTTTTCATCATCCATATGCCCAACCGCCAGTCTTGGCCAGGAAGAAGCATACCCAATTTGTTCCAATTGGTGCCTTTAAATTCAGGCTTCAGGTTGGTCAAGGAGAAGTATAATAGGAAGATGTCATCGACTAATTATCGGCATGATGCCTAAATCTTGTGAACAATGATATAAGTAGCCTCCTGTAAAATTTGATCTTCAACTTGTGCTGTTGAATTTAAAATTTTAGGTAAGATATCTTCATCATCAGGAACTATAATTGCCTAAGACCTTACCCCCTCTACTTCTTCTAGAGCTCAAATAGGGTTATGTACACAAATTTTCATATATACCTTGTACTTCAATATGGTTTGATGATTTATATAGGTCATTTTGTATTTCTTGCCTAATTAGTGAGTTATCACATTCCAATCCTGCGGCAGGTCAAAGATTCTCTTCAAGACGGCCGGGGTTTTGTTGGATGAAATCCGAGACAAGGGACTGAGAGCTCTGAAGTACAAAGTTATTATATTGGATGAAGTGCATGAAAGATCAGTGGAGTCGGATCTTGTTCTCCTTTGTGTTAAACAATTTTTGCTGAAAAATTCTAGCTTGAGGTAGTTATAAAATCCTTTGAGATTCCATCTGTTCACTGGTCTGTTATGGTTTCAATCCTCTCTCTCTCTCTCTCAGCCTGTTTTTTCTCCAGTTTCTTTCTTTCTTTTTCGTTTTTTTCCACCTTTTGTGATTAGAAACTTAAAACTGTGTCAGATGTAATATGATAACTCTAGACGTTGAATATTCTTTTGATAACGAAGCCTTTTTTTTTCCTAGGCTTGTGTTGATGTCTGCAACTGCTGATATTAACAAATATCGTGATTACTTTCGGGATCTTGGAAGGGGTGAAAGAGTAGAAGTGTTGGCAGTTCCTCCTAGTACCAACCAACACCAAATTTTTCAGCGGAAAGTGCTTTATCTTGAGCAGGTATGTTATAAAAATTTTCAGACCACATCTTTTTTTGAAATGAAAAAATCTATTATTCATCATTAGGTTTCTTAAATTAGATTCTGATCCTTTATTTAATATTCTTCTTTTTGACATCACTGTTGCTTCTCAAGATAAGTTTCCTTTAAACATGGTTGACTGTTGTAGGTTAGCCAATCTGATGTTATTACTTGACTATAAAGCATTTTTTTAAAAATTTTTTGTATCAAAAGTAGGTCTTTCAAACTTGTTTGATGTCTTCTTGGAAAGTTTCCTTTCTGTTTCCATAGATGTTGAATTTTGTTTCATGTTTTTTTTTTTCCTTCAACTAAAACATAGGTTACTGAACTTCTTGACATGGAATCAGAGAGTTTATCCACCAAGTATTGCTCTGGCCTAAGCCCATTTGCTGCTGATGCTGGTATCAAAGCTAATGTTCACAAGCTTATACATGAACTAGTGGTGCACATTCATAGGAATGAACCAGATATGGAAAAGAGTATTCTTATTTTCCTCCCAACCTACTATTCATTAGAACAGCAATGGTTTCTCTTGAAGCCATTCAGTAGAACATTCAAGGTTTTCATTCTGCATCGCAGTGTCAACACTGCAGAAGCTCTCAAAGCCATGAAAATTTTGAAGTCCCACCGAAAGGTATTTATTCTTCATTTCCTTGATTCTTGTTAATTCCCAAATACTATTTGTATTAAATTATACATTCTCTACATTAATGATGGTGGGAAGAGAATTCGCTTCAATAACACGCCCCGGATTCATCCCCTTCTGTTTTTAATTTCTTACATTGTTTGGCAAACTTCTGTTGCTATTGAAAATGTGCCACATTGATGCTAGCTCATGTATGACGTTTCATGCGACTTTGCAGGTAATATTGGCCACAAATATTGCTGAATCATCAGTGACAATTCCTCAAGTAGGATATGTCATTGATTCATGCCGTTCTTTACAAGTTTTCTGGGATAATAATCGTAAATTAGATTCAGCAGAACTTGTCTGGGTGTCTCGTTCTCAGGTAATTTTTGGGTAAATATGATTTGATCTTAGTTTTCTTCTACATTTCACGGATGACAACTTTACATCATATAATAGGCTGACCAGCGAAAAGGGAGGACAGGTCGGACTTGTGATGGTTATGTTTATCGACTGGTTACACGTAGCTTCTTCAATCAACTCGAAGAGTATGAGCCTCCAGCAATACTGAAGCTGTCACTGAGGCAGCAAGTGCTCCTTCTCTGCTGTTCTGATTCTAGAGCTATAAATGACCCCAAAGGTAGGTTTCAAACTGCCTACTAAATGTTGCTGTCGAAAAAATTTTTCAACTCACTATATGGAACAGGTGTAAATGACATTAGATCACATTAGCCAGTGTATTTAGATGACTACCTTTGGCTGCAACTCTTTGTCTGTCTTGTTATGACTTGAAAGTTTCTGGTTTGACATAATATATGTAATAACTGATATATGTCAATTTCTTTAAATGTACAGTTCGGTTATCACTTTACATACAGTTGCTCTTTTTTTGGCACATCAATTTTGTTGTAGTTTCTTATGAACCACTATGTCTAATTGTTTTCTACCTGCCAACTACCATTTTTGGTTAGTAACGTGGTTCAAACTGGAACTAGGTCTCCGAGACTTCTGATTGTTTATTAGTTACTCCATCAGAAGTCGTGTTTGTTTCAGACATAGATGTTATGCTCCTAGATTGCGTGGTCATATGGTTTTGTTGGAATAACTGAGAGGCTTCAACAAATTAAGTTGGGCTTGTAGAGTAGGCTTCTGGGTTTGGGTTCCGATTTTATCCTAACATTTGTCAACAACAGCAACAAGCCTTTATCCCACTATGTGGGGTCGGCTGTTTGTAAAATGGTTTCCTTTTATGCTGCGAATGCTATTTGAGTTCCTTGGATGTTGGTTTAGTGTAATATAGGCATTAAGTACAAAAGAAAAGAACTTAAGCTGGTGGCTTGTTGATTAGCCTTGTTGCAGAAAGCTCTAGATCCTCCAGACCATCAAGTTGTTGAAGATGCGCTTGATTTACTTGTACGCGCTCACGCACTGGAGAGAAGATCGCCTAGGGGCCGCAATGAGCCTACGTTCTATGGGCAATTGCTCGCAAGCTTCGGCCTGTCATTTGATGCCTCTGTCCTTATACTCAAGTTTGGTGACCTAGGTCTACTACGTGAAGGTATCCTTATTGGGATATTGATGGATTTGCTGCCTCTTCCCATTGTTCGCCCCTTCGGGCAGGGAAATCTGGTACTTTTTATTAATATTGTTTTTTAGTTTTGGAATATCAATATAAGTTGATTCTCAAGAAAGTTATTGACTTGGATAAATCTACTTTTTTAGCACATGGAGTATACTAGTAACTTTTATGCTGGGGATAGCAGGATAACTGGGCTTACTGGCAAAAAGGAGGTCTTTCATATGGGAAACTTTTGCGCATTCCAGTTTTGGCAACTAGTGTTTAAGGTATTACCTGCTGGGTTTTAAATTCTCTTTTATACTTGTAGTAGCTTATTATGTTTTGTGTTTGACATTACAACTAAACATTCTTCTATTCCTCATTTCTTTGAAGGACAAGTATCGTCTGGAAAAGTTGAAGCAGCTTTCTAAATCTGATGGAGCAGCAGACGAAACAATTGTGCTGCATAAGATTGAGGAAGAGTGGTGCACATTTCACAATCTTCTTCAGTCAGCCCTTCATGAAGTTGCTGAGACATGTATGGTTATTTTTGTCAGAACTTCTCTTCATTTTATGTGAAAGCTTATATTCCGCGGGACTATACACTTTTATGAAAGTTACCTTGCAGATGATGAAATTGTAAATTCTCTGCACCGGTTTCGCCCCAAAACTTTATTGAACTCGAATAGCTTACCGTTGTATTATGATACTCGTGAATATCAGCATACCTGTTTCCTCAAAGATGACCAAAGTGAGGATGAGGACACATCATATACAAATGACAATCACCTAGCACTTGATACTGGTGTGAAGGCATGTGCTGCAGTACCCTTCGTCTCTTTCAATGATTTTCGAACATCAGAGGTTGCTGAAAAATTAGCTACCATCGTCAAGGAGGTAAATATTTAGTTTGTAGTACATGATTTTGTTAATATGAGATGAAATGTTGCATTATTTTGAAAAACTTGGTTTTTTGTTTCTTTATGGTATAGATGAGAGTTATGCTCACGGACGCAGTATCTGGAAACAACGCCAAATCTGATGTTGGTAGTGATTCTTTTGGTGTCACGGAGACTCCTCTATGTATATATTTCCTAAAAGGATTCTGCAGTAGGGGCAGCCAATGCATGTACGCTCATTCATTTGCAGGAAAAAGACCGCATTGCATGTTTGTCTACTCTCTACAGGTAATCAACTGTTGAAATGTTTCAATGTGGAAATAAACAAGGAGAGGCATGTTTGCCGGAACTTTCTGTCGGGCCTATAATGCTTTGTCATCTTATTTCGTCCAAGGGAAGTAACAGGTTTGGAATTTGTTTGAACCACTGTTATCTAAACCCAGGCTTTAAGCAGAACTTAATGTATATCTGTCTGGAACTCTGTGTCTTATTGCTGTACAAGTACTATACATATGGTCCCATCACTGGGAAAATCTTTCTGAAGCAGAAATTTTGAGATAACCATTTGCTTGCTGTTTATTTTAATAATTCTGGTGTTTGGTTGGTGTGTAGTGTTAGTATGAACTTACTTCGGGGAGGTGACAGGCAACAGCAAATGTTATTATCCTGATAATTTTATATCAATTGATCCTTACACATTCAATTTGTGACTGGAGAGGAGCGATGTTTGAAATTTAGTCTGGAAGCATAAATAGTTTTTGTAAGACGAGTTGATTTCCAAAATGTTTTTTCTTCCCAGCTAATTACGATATGAATGGCTATTGTTCTTTTCCTTTTCCTCCCCTCCTTCCGTCTCTGTTAAAGGAGTGTAGCCAGACTTGAGGTGTCTTTTACTAGTTTCATTTACACATAGATCATTCCTGCCAGTACTTGTCCAATTTCCTTTTCATAATATTTCCTTTTCTTTTCACCTGTTGTTCGATATACCTGTCCTCTTATCCTTCTTTTGATCCATGCAGGGATGTCGTAATGGAGAATCTTGTCCTTACTCTCATGATATAAGTACACCATCATCGATTACAGTGGAAAGTTCATGTCTGCCAGAAGATGACGTTGCTAACCCACATTCACTCATACAACTCTTTCCTGATTCTCCTGAAGGGTGTGTCCTACTCATGGATGATGCTGATTTCCATTTTTCTCTGAATCTGGCTAGTTTTATAGACTCATCCTCGATGATTATAACTAATCCTTCACAACGCGGAGCCACAGCAGTTGACCCTCTGCTGATGGATGCCAAAATTCTTTGGGGCCTTTCTCATCCTGTTGAGGCAATTGTACACAAAGCAGGAGAGGAATTAGTCCCCTGGAACAAAGTTGAATGCATACTGTGGTTTCCTCAGTTTGATTCTGAAATTTTGGAAGTGCAGAAGGGGCACTTGAAGAATGTTTTTCAGTATTTATCTCTCCGGATGTTGGCAGATGCTCTCTTTGAAGTGCAGTTGATCATAACAATGAACAATATTAGGTTTTCTCAGTTGCAGGTAATGTTATAAGCAAAGCACAAGTTACTTTTTTTTAGCTTGATTAAAGATGTATCTCAAAAGTCTTTTTCATTATTTTTTTTGCTCGAGTCTATTCATATTGTCATATCTAAGTTCCTACCTCACCCTCAAACAAAAAGGGCATATCCTCTTCTTTCCTGACAATCATTTTATGTCTCTTTTATTGATGGTTTTCCCAAAAATTAGGTCTGAGTATGGCTCTTTTCCCCATGTTATTTTCTTTTGCGTTTAAATTGCTTTTGTCCTATTCCTTTTATGTTGTCCTCATACTGGTTTGGTTCATTTTTATGTGCTTTGTTGAAGTTTTATATATTTCTATATTTCCTTCAAGGATTTTTTTCCAGGCATTCTGTCCCATAGTTTTTTTTTTTTTTTTATAATATTTCCCCTAAACAGCAGAGGTTTAACTCAAGAAGATTACATAGAAATAGATTGTTATGAAGGACAATACATTAAAACGTACGTCTAAATGTGTTTTGACAGAATATGATATGAATTATGATTCATAAAACTGACCCTATATTGTGGAATTATTGTTGTATTTGTTAACAGGGCATGCCTTATGTCTTCTAGAATTGATAGCCTGACAAAATGGAAAGATAACTTTTATCCTAAATGCCATATTGATGATAATGGTTGAAATTTATCGACTTGACTCTCTTAACCTGAGTTCCACTGCATCCAATCAGTTGAAATGTTGAATGGTGTCTTTTCAGCACTCCTACTCTTTTCGCATGATTTAATAAGATATTGTTTCACTCTTGATCGTTTAGCCATGTTTTATGCTTTTTTGTTTGGGCCGTCGCTCTTGATATGGGTATTGGAATGTTGTTCCAGGTGGAGAAATTTGCGAGGGAAGGCTTCTTCTTTCTAAAGGAATCATTTCCTTTTGATGAACTAAGCTTTGGGGAACTGAGGGATGAGATCAATGTGAAAAAGGCAATGTTGGTGTGTAAGCCCATATCTTATGTTTTCAAGCTGCATGCTCCTTCAAACTGTCAGTTTGGTGATTACAGAAAGGAACTTTACCGGCATTTACATAAATTTTGTTGAGATTTGTCCTCTCCATGATGTAAATTCAGCTTCTGTAGGGCCCTTTTTTCCGGTAGAAGAACAGACCTTGGAGTAAGATTCTCGAGTAGTAGTATGAAACTGGCTGTAATATTTATACCCTGCCAGAGGATTTGAAATATTTGTGATTTTTGAATTTGATTTTGAATATACATGTTTGTTCAGCTGATATGTTGGCTGCTTACAGTCAAAAAAGATTTTCAGGAAAAAATGTTTCCTCTAGTACTCTTATTGTTCCATAATAATTATCTTGTTTATTGTATTAAAAACAACAAACAAATAAAATAATTATTTGGGACATAAGAGTCTACTTCCTTAGAAAAACAAACAAGCACTCACCTCAAAAAATGGAGAGATATCAAACTTTTACAACAAAGAAAATCTTATTAAGGTTTAGCTTGCAAAATGTTATACTCCTTCCGTCCCGAAATTATTATCCAGTTTGGATTTTCAATTTTAATACAAATTGAATTAAAAGTAAAAGTCCAAATCGAACAATAATTTTAGGACGATTATTATCCAGTTTGAATTTTCAATTTTAGTACAAATTGAATTAAAAGTAAAAGTCCAAATCGAACAATAATATTAGGACGGAGGGAGTACAAAGCAAAGCATTACATTCATAGCCGCACATTGTAATAATACCAGTTCAGCTTCAGATACTTTCAACGCTTCAAATTCGGTTTTACCTTCATAACATGAGTGATTCGTCTTTTAATCCTCTCTTCAATCAGCTTGCAATAATTCATGTTGAGAAGATTGATCTCGCCTGAAGACCTTAGAGCATTTCGAACTTTTTCATAAGTGAATTCTCTAGTAACTGATCCTTGCTTCACCAACTCAACAAGGAAATCCCATGCTTCCACCACTCTTCCACCTTCACACATGGCATGAATTATCGGAGTATAAGAACTTGTGGTTGGTGTCCCATGTTTCAGTTCTTCCATCTTTCTCAACATCTCCACTGCCTTGTCAATCTCATTAACAGCACTGTAATACCGAATAAAAGAATTATAAGTGATCCTATTCGGCAAACAGCCTCTCTTTAGCATATCATCAAACAACTCCAATGCTTTCTCAATCCTGTAAGTCTTGCAACATCCATTAATCAAAGAATTATAAGTAACAACATCAGGCACAAACCCTTTGGACAACATTATACGAAAGAAGCGATTTGCCTCCCATACCCTCCTCCGAGTGGCTTCCTTGTAACCAGTTTCCATGCTATGTCTACAGTAAGAACTTATCAAAATTGTATAAGTAAAAGACTAAAATGTCCAAATAGTCCTTTACATTTGAGCCTACTTGAATTTACGTCCCTAACATTAACATTTCAATATCGTAGTCCCAAACATTATGTTTTCACACTTTTTTGGTCCTATTTCACTGTTTACGACCGTTGACATACCGGAATCAGGGGTATTTTCGTCTTTTAATTTAATTTCAATTTCTATTAAAATTTAAATCATTAAAAATATTTTAAAATTCAGATTTTATTATTTAATTGTTCAAATAGTATTTATTAATTAAAAATATTATTATAAAATTTTAAAATTTACATTATTTTTAAAATTAATTTTTTCATTTATCATTTACTTAGGTCAAAGTAAATAGTAATTATATTGTACTTTTAACCTTGGACCTACTATAATTTAAAAAATTTACTCATTTACAGTAAATAATTCAAAATTCAATTTCACTAAATGGTAAAGTATGTTGCACTTTTAACTTTGGACCCACTATAACTTAAAAAATTTATCGAATTACAGTAAATAATTCAAAATTCAATTTTTTTTTAAAAAAAAAGGAAAACCAATTTTTTTTTTACTTTGATTGATGCAGTTTAATTTTGAATTATTTATTATAACACGACAAATTTTTTAAGTTACCTTGGTCCAAGGTTAAAAGTGCAACATAAGGGTTTATTGTAGCGGTCAATTACTTATAGTGGATCCACGGTTAAAAAGAAAACGTAGCGGTCAGAGTAAAAAAAATCTTGGTTTTCTTTTTTCTTTTAGAAAAAAAAATTGAATTTTAAATTATTTACTGTGACTCGGTAAATTTTTTAAGTTACAGTGGATCCAAGATTAAAAGTGCAACATAATTACCATTTAGGGTTTGCTATAGCGGTCAGAGTAAAAAAAATCTTGGTTTTTCTTTTTCTTTTTTTTGAAAAAATAAATTGAATTTTGAATTATTTACTGTAATTCGATAAATTTTTTAAGTTACAGTGAACCCAAGGTTAAAAGTGTATTATAATTATCATTTAGGGTTTACTGTAACGGTCAAAGTAAAAAAAATCTTAGTTTTGTTTTTTTTTTAAAAATAATTTTGAATTATTTAGTGTAATTGGGTAAATTTTTTAAGTTACAGTGGGTCCAAGGTTAAAAGTGCAATATAATTACCATTTAAAGTTTACTATAACGATCGAGTAAAAAAAACTTAGTTTTGCTTTTTTTTAAAAAAAAAAAATAATTGAATTTGAATTATTTAATGTAACTTGATAATTTTTTAAAGTTATAGTGGGCTCAAAGTTAAAAGTGCAACATAATTACCATTTATTGTGTACTTAAAGTAAATAGTAAATGAAAAAAATAATTTTGAAAATAATGATAAATTTTTAAAATTGTATAATAATATTTGTAATTAGTAAATAATATTTTAACAATTAAATAATGAAATTTTAATTTTAAAATATTTTTAATGATTTAAATTTTTAATAAAAATTTAAATTAAATTAAAAGATAAAAATATCCCTGATTCCGGCATGAGACCAAAAAAGTGCAAAAACATAATGTTTGGGACTACGATATTGAAATGTTAATGTTAGAGACGTAAATTCAAGTAGGTCTAAATGTAAGGAACCATTTGGACATTTTAGTCTAAGTAAAAATATCAGCACGACATCTAAAACCAGGCAACTCCATTTGTTCTAACATAAGCTTAGCTTTCTTGAAATTTCCAACTCTACAAAGAGCATAAATAATTGTATTATATGCAAGAACGTCAGGTTTACAATGGAACTGCTTCATTCTATAAAATGCAGCCAAGGCTTCATTAACCAATCCTTCTTCTCCTAAAACCTTGATAACACAAGTGACCAAAGAAGTATTAACAATCCCCCTTTTCGACATTTCTTTAAGAAATCCCCAGAGGGGTCTTAAACTGTTTCCTTTGGCCAAAACAAGAGCCATTTCTCTACAAGTAGCTTCATTATGCACAAACCCAAAATGGGATTCAACACAATTGAAAAATTCAGTAGCTTTTTTCAACCCGAGATTTACTTTTTCAGTATCCCAATGGGCAGCTGGGCCTAGAATCAGTTTACCAGTTCGGCGCTTTCAAATATTCATCTTTCAGACGCCTCTGCTTGAGCGGAGCGCGATGGCGAAATCCCTTTTGGCTGCCAATCGATCTTGGGGAGTGAAAGAAGAATCTTGGAATGAACCTTAGAACTGCAGTGACCGTTTCCGTATTCCAAATTGGATTGCTCACTGAAATGCTCTGCTCGTGAGCTGTGGCTGAGGCATAATTAGTGGTTTGAAAAGACTGGTCTTTGATGACTGCAACCAGCAGTTGTTTTACAACAACAGATTCACTAATATAACAGTGAAGAGGCTTTGAGAGGAACATGAATACTGTAAAACATAGAATCTTGGTTGCCCGCTTCATCCATGATTAAAGAATAATAAGAAACCAATGCCTTCACATATACAATTTGAAGAATGACAAACAAACTGACCCACCATTGATATCCAAAATATCTGCAAATACTAAAATCAAACAGCTCCATCAACAGCTGTTAGAAATGCTTAGAGGTGGACAGCAGAGGACTATACAAGAAAGTGTCTCTTCAACACTGTTTTCCTATTATCTGAAAAAATTTGAAGCACAACAAGCTATACAGCTTATGCAGAACAGAACAAAATTAGGGGTTTACACAAAATCAAAAAGGCACAAATTTAATCTGACCTTAGCCGCAGATTGGAGATGCCCAAAAGAAGATCTAAACCGCCACACTCAAACCAAAGAGAACGAAAATAACTTCTGATTGGCAGCAATTGACGAGAGGAAGGAAAGAAAGAAAACAGAACGGGGAAGACGACTGAAGAAGAAAACGGAGCAGAGTATATCAGTTTTGGGCTGTTTTACGAGAAGACCATGAGGCCCACACTGACACATTAAAGGCCCACAGTCACGCAGTATCTTCTTCACTCACTGTGCATATCTTTTCTCCTTTACCCTTTTCACTTCAAGATTTTCACAGTTCTTTCTCTCTCTAATATCATTTTCATTTTCTTCTTTCGACTGCATACACCAGAAACCCTAAACTGCTTCCCGTTTGATTCAATTCAATTGGATCGGATTCAACCCGAATTAAGGATGCGGATATGTCCCCTCGAGCTCTGGAATCCCGGCACTCCATAGAATCCTGCACTTTACACCTTCACAGCTGGAGACCCTTCCAGCTTCCTCCCGTCACTATTCCCAAAACCCTAGACTCTGATTCTTCGAAACCCTACTCCTCCGCCACCGCCACCGCCACCGCCGCCGGTAATGTCTTCCGAAGCAAGCGCCCCTGCCGCGCCGATCGTCGGACGTCATCCTCTTTTGCAATTGAATCGCTCGACATGTCCAGGCTGAGCTTGTTCGACGATGATCGCGCTTTGTCATCGGCCTCTGCGGTAAACAAGCAGCGCGACGGTATGCGGTGGTTCGCCAGGAAGCGCCGCCGTCGTGGGTCTAGGTCGGTTTCGGGGAGGAGTAGTGATCGGAGCGGGACTCATCGCCGCCGTTGCTGCTCCGTTGGGGCGTCTGTGGCGTATGGTACTTGCTCTGATTTTCCGATGGTGACCGGGGGGACTGATTCGAGCGGGGAGCTTTTTGTGAACGGGGATTCCAATTGGTCGTCGGACGTTAGTGAGGCAGCCAGGAATAATAACAATGGTGTAACCAGGAGGGAAAGGGATAACGCAGCGAGTGGCGAGAAAGAGAATATCAGTTCTGGGTTTGGGAACAATGGGAATTTCGACAACCAGGGCGGCCAGGGGAATGAATCTGGTTATGGCAGTGAACCGGGTTATCGAGGCGATGCTGAATTTGGGTATGGCGATGAGTTTGATGAGGAAGAGGATGATCCACGTCTTCCCTTCTGGGGGGAGCAATTTGGAGGTACTTTGCGTCTGCTTTTAAGGATTTCACTTCATTTTGGCATCTAGATTCTATACTTTTAGATAATCCTCAAGTTACAATTTTACATTGACCTTGTTTCAAGGTAATTGTTAAATTGGCATAGAATTTTAGACTGAGTAATCGTATATCATATGCTGTGCATAAACTGCATACCATGAGGCGGCACAAGTTAGATCTCCTTCCTGCTTCCAGTATGTTGTTGGAGGCAATTAAGATGAAGTAGTGAACCACTGTTGATCCCTTTATCTTTAAAAAGGGAAAAAAATGTAGAAAGTGCAGTGATTGAATAAGATGAGTTTTAGCAATGCCTTTGACATGGATCTGATGAACATTGATTGCCTTCTGTTATGACGTGGCTCTTGCTCAATAATCATATAAGATAACTCTTAAACTATGCTTTTGCTGTTGTGGACATGTGGAATGCATAACAATTTCAGTAGCAACATATTTTGTGGCTACTTTACTTACACAAATTGGGTCCTGTTGTTGCTTAGTATTCACTTGGTCAAGAGAAAATTGAGTTCTTTTTCCCAGTCTTTTTCAATGTACCATCTTTTACCAATTTGAAATCAATTTCATCTTTCAAACATTTTGCATTCATGAACTTATTGGGAATCATCACATTATCTTTTCTTTGGCAAATATTTTGTTGGTTTTGTAAGGTTTTGATATTGTTATAGATTGGGGGAAGTTTGTACTGTCTGAGTTTTATTCATAGTTTCTGTGTGCCTTGTTTAATTTTGCAATCTTGGTTAGTAAGAACACAATTACTTTCAAAACCTTGAGGTGGAAAGAAAAGTTAAATTGAAGAATTGAGGAATGGTATTGATTTAGATTTCCTAGTAAGGTTGTGCTAAATAAACATTTGAGTTATCATGTGAGCCGTGAGCATAAGAGTCAAAGGATTTATTCATCATTACAGATTGACATGCAAACCAGCTTAAAAGATCATGATTTGGTATACAGTTGGAATTGCTTCTGTGATCCACGTGATATAATGTGGTCTGCGTGTACAGTTTACCGAATTCATGCTCGAATAGAGGGGTTTGTTTTGATCCATGTCTCATCCTGTGTGATGAAAAGTTCAACAGCATCTTTGCATTTGAGCAGCTGCTATTGCGCTCTTGTTCGTGGTTTATTCCCATTTCTTTTCACCAAAGGATCGTAGAATTTTGTTCAAATAATCCTAATGTCTTTCAGCCTTTCTCAGTACCAATAACTTCGAAGTGGTAAAAAATTGCTCGAGATGGACATCTGCATTGTAAGCAGTGTAATCTGTTTACACAGCTTGAATGTTTCCATTGGCTTTTAGACTTTTCCTCCTTGAAACTTCTTTTTGCTGTGCCTAGCACATTTACACCCCCAGTCGTTTTAATTGAAGCTCGTAACCAAGTCTGTTAGCCTACCCATTGGCTATTCTACTGTTTTTTGCTTGGATGCAACTAATTTCTTCTTTTTAATTTGCTTTTGTTTGGCGTTGCTCTTATTGAAAACCATGATGTCGTTCTTAAACCAGTTATTCTTGAACATCACTTGTAACTTATCTCTTGGCCACAGATTCGATTTCCAAATTGGAGAGGGTCGGAGAGAACACACTGCAGAAGACTCATCATAGATGTCGACGTAAGAAACATGATTTGAGAATGATTGACGCTTTGAGGTAGCTGGCCTTGGTAGATATGATTTTAGCGTTTATTTGACATTATGAGGAGGTTTTTGGTATCTCCACTTATAAAGATTTCTCTTTCTGCTCCCCTTGGTTGGTTGATTGTTGTTTAGTGTCGGAGTTATACACAAACATGAGAACTATTTACTAACCTCAGGATTTAGTACTCGTAGAATGATATGGGTAGGTGTGACATATGAGCTGTGCAATGATCTTGTGGTTGTGAAGATATGGAGTTGTATAATGTTCTTTCTTGTTAATTTATAAAGAACACAATCATATTGTGCGTGTAAACTTTGGTTTTGTTGATAGTGTTAAAGTGTTGCTATTAGAAATGGTGTGTGCTGGTATCCCTCTGTGAACCACCAAGAATTCGTGGAAATTTGATTAACAAGAAATACTCTCCATGAAATCCATGGTCAGTCTCAAGGCAAGTCATAACGTGAGGGTTAAGACAGAGAGCCAGGTCAATGTTCTCACTGCCTGCTCTAGCTGGGTACATCATCATTTTCCAGTCCAACTTATTTGCAGGGCCACTTCAAACAATGCTTTGCCAAGTCCAAATCGCGCTGTAAACATTGTGCGGAGGACAACTTCTGACAATGACATTGATGCTGCTGGGATTCTTGGGAATGATCAACTTACCAATGCTGTTCATGGTGGGTTTTTTTACCCATGAGTCAGCCTGTGCATGCGCATATCTGTCCGTCTGGTTGTTGACCAACTCATGCAACTTCCAGTCTACCCATCCCAGTGCCGGTTCAGCAATTCAGCAGGTAACTCGAGCTGCTAAGTCCTGTATACTATTACCAAAGTATTCCTGGGACAATGGTGGCGTAATCCCAGATCTGTTGTCAACAGAAGAGATCATTTCTTTCATTTTGATCCGGTGGCAGATTTCGGGCCCTGGTGATGCACGTCCACACATGGGCAAATAGGGCCTGGAAGGTAGAAATTGTGGTTGATGGATCTGAATCAGCTTCAGCTTTTGCATTTGCTTTCGACTTTATTTCACTAACGACTCTGATGTGAAATGAAAAAATCTTCCTTTCAATTCAGGTACTTCTTCTGCAACTAGTTCATATTGAAATACAGCTGCATCATGGTTTGAGAAAGGCTATCTGACGATGTGGCCATACCATTCAGGAAACCAACGTTTATGGTTAGGTGGCTGGACAAGAACAAGGTTGCTGCGGCACCATTGAATATATCAGGTCATATCGAAACACAACTGCATCATGGTTGACGGAAAATTAAATGAAGATGCCATCAGTCAACTCCTTGACTTGAGTGGACATTGAAGGCAGGTTTGTGTTCCATCATGATTGATTTCCCCAACAAGGTCAAAAAAATGAATACACAATTTTGGGTACATGGATTAGTGAAAGGATGTCGCTGATTGTCATATTCAATGAAGTGTGGATAAATTTAGCCTCAGGGATCAACGTACATGTTACAAGTTGTTGGGTTTTTCTCATCTTCTTTATAAATAGTCGCAAGACGACCTTGCAACAGATAGAAATGGACCAAGGCAATTGACAGTTTGTCATTGAGATTCTCTAGGAGCTCTTGAATTTGCTTGATCTCATCAGAGTTGTTGAAAGATGGAGGCTTTGCAAAGAGAAGGCCTTTTGCATGTAGTGGAAATTGGCTTGTTCCAGATCCCTGGGTGACAAGTATAATGGCTTAAATGCTTGATGGATTTGGTAGTGTTGTATTTGGGTGCATAAAGCATTTAGAAGTGTATTGAAGAGCTGCAGACTCAACATTTTCTTTTTCTATTTATTTTGTGGTCTGTCTGCCTTGATTGAACCCCAGTTGGGGGGATATGACCTAGTCACTGGCTCAAAAGGTCTCAGCTAAAGTGGTTGATTTCACTCCCAAGGGAGAGTTGTTTTGGTTTGTAGACAATATACTTTCTGATTTTGTTGATCAACAAATAGACGATTTCTTTTGGGGGCAACATGTAAGGGACAAGCTTTTTTAATACTTCGATCTATAGAATGTTTCATATTATAAATTGTAAATTATACTTAGTCTGTCCCAAAATAATTGTCCAATTTAGATTTTTATTTTTGATACAATTGGAATTAGTTTTTTTAGTACTCCGTCCTACAGAGTATTTCATATCATAAATTATAAATTGTACATTTTTCGTCCGGAAATGATTGTCCAATTTAGATTTATATTTTTTACTTTAAATTATATTAAGAATGAAAATAATCATTATTGAGAATCATTCACTTATTTTGGAAATTCATTTTACTCTTCATTGATTACAATATTTTTTTTGCAACTAATTATCCTACAAGAAATTGCTAACTCTGTTGGTTCTTTTAATCCCAAAATCCAACGACGTCGTGCGGTTATAAATAAATGTCTCATAAACCAGAAAATTATGAGACGTTGAAAAAGAAAAGGGAAAAGAAAGGAAATGGCGAGCGGGAGAGCAGCGGAAGCTCTGCGGGCTTACAGGGCGGTTCTGAAGGCAACCCGTAAATCGTTCGCCGGCGACACTGTCATGCTCAATGGTTCCGCCCAGGAAGTGCGGAAGAAATTCGAGGAGAACCGTCACGTGACCTCCGATTCGGATGTCCAAAGGATGCTTGACGAGGCCCGTGAGGCAGCTCACTTCATCTCCACCATGATCGTTCAGGCCAAGCTCAGTGATCGTGGCGGTTACGGTGAGCTTTTTTTTGACATTCCCAACGTTTGTAATCAAATTGGTATTGCTAGATTTATAATAAGTAGCTCTGCGAGAATGATATTACTAGGAAGTAAAGTATGCTTACGAGATGTTTGATTGAATGCTTGAAAAAAAAAGATGTATCTCTGTCAATCCCCTTTCTGCATCCAAGCACTAATCTGCCTTTATTAAATTCATGTGTTTGATGCCTGCAACCCATCTAATTTCCTGTTTTTCATTCTACCTTTTGTTAGAAAGCTGTATTTTTATTTACCGCTCTACGTTTTTACATTTTCCAATATAAATTTGAATATTGTTAGATTAAAGGCTGACATGTTCTTTTTAGCTTTACCTATTGATCTTATTTCTTTCGTTTTGCATTGCTTCTCCGTTGGCTGAGCTTGTGACTAAATTGAATGTGTATATTTTATTTGAATCACCTTGCCGAATGCCGACTTCTTTGAGATCTTTTGGCTGGGTTGTAACTACGTTATTGGCTGGGCATGCATTACTTCTTTGGGATCTTTTTCCTATGAATGAATTGCTTGCTGACTTATTGGCGTGGATTACATTTGGACAGTAATTTTGCAGTCAACAATATGTTCATCAAGCATTTTAAGTAGTCCTCTTTGGCTGTTCGTTCTCTTTTTAGAGGTCGATCCTGACAGGATCAGCATAATTATTGGACCAATCTAACCTCTGTTAAGCCTATTATGTTGTTACCGAGTGCCTGGGAATAACAAACTAATGAAAATAACGAGTTTTAAAATATTTCTTATACCAGAAATGATCGGCAATAATAGTTTTGTAATCATTCAAATGCTCTAGCATACTATTTGTTATTCAGCCCTCATCGAGCAGACCTGTGATATGCTTTTTATGCTACATTTTGATATAAGCTACCAGTTGATCTACATGTATATGCATAATTAGAATCTCTAGTATGGTAGAATATCATTTCACTGCTAATATTGAGATGTAAAATGTGATTTTGGATATAAAAAACTAGATTATGAAAATGAAAGTTATTACCAGCTGTATGGACACGTAGAAGTTGTGTGTGGATTTTCAATTAGCGCTGTCAGTTTCTCACACTCCGTATTGTGAAATTTATTTGATGCAGAAGTAAAGTTGGATAAGGAGCATGCTGATGCAACCTTGGAAGTACCATCAGAAGAGCTTCTCAGAAAGTCGGGTTCACAGTAAATGAACAAATTGTCTGCCTACAAAATTGTTCTTATTTCAAGCTGAATTCTGATTCACATGAGTTTCATAGGATCGCAACTGAGGCATTTTTTATGTATCATTGCCGGGATACTCCATGTGCTTAGATCAAAATTTTCTTGTCCACATTTTAGTACTTTTCTTGAGTGCAGTGGACTATTAACTTCGGCTGTGTACACTCTTTAGCCTCTTGTACTCGTTAGATTCTAAATGTTTGTGTTCTTGAATTGAATTCGAAAGCCACAAATCAAAAATACGAACTCATTTCAGTTTGGAAATAATGTATGCTTGCTTCTCCAGAAGACTCCAAATCCTAAGAATGAAAAGCAAATCGAAAGGTTATACTTATTCTTCGTATAAGGACAAAATTTTGCTTTCCTTAAGCTTAGCAATGGTAACTGAATAAACCAAAAGGATACCAAACATACACATCTATCTTCTTGATATACACATATGCGTAAGAGTAATATTGATCTGCCTGGTAACCAAGGCAACAGAAAATATATTAAGGATCCGCATTCATGAAAGTTAATAATCTACTTGAGGAATGCCACACAGCATTTTATACATAAAACTTGGAACTCTAATTTGAAGACACATTAATTTTCCTCCATTTCCACCTCCTCTTCCTCTTCCTCTTCTTCTTCTTCTCTGTCATCCTCAGAAACTTCATCATCCTCGTCTTCTACTTGCTTAGTTTCCTGCTTCTTTTTTGCATCAGACACACCTGAAAATAACAGAAGAACCTTATGAAGTAGCCATCAAAGAGTGATTCAATGTATAACTGCTCTAATGGCAAAGGCGAAAATTTTATTTGAAAGGAAAGGTACCATGGAACACAACAAGATAAAGTATAGTTATATCCTACATCATTCAATACAAGACGAAGCAAGTTGTTGTCAAATTCAAAGCAATAGTCACAGGCAACATGGAAACTTATAAAAGACAATTAAAAGTTGAAAAGGCAAACTCAAATACCCTAATGATAAATAAACGTAACTATCTACAATATAACAAAGGCTCGGTGGAACTGCCTGTTATACGAAAGGTAAATGCGGTGAAAAGAATATCGGTCTGCTAACAAGTGCTGCTAACACCAATACACATGAGCCTTGGCTACAACAATTATTTATTAACAAATGCTTGCTGCAGCAGGTAAACAACAGTAGGGGGATCGAACCACAAAAGATATAACGCCATTTGACAAGATAGACCGTAGCAGACTGAAGGGCTTACCGCCTTCATTAAATATGACGGAGCCAGAGCATAATCCTTCCTCAACTTTCACGAGTTGGAGCGTCATGCGAGGTCCAATCTCTTGTAGCCTCACGGCGCTTTGTGTAGATTTACGGTTAGCTCTGCCAAGATCAGTTGGTAGACTAACAGTAGCAGCCTCATCATCTGCTTCACTTTCAGATCCATAACCAGCTCTTGAGGTATATGTCAATGACAAACACACATAAGAATCAGTTTTTGTATATTTGCAAAGACTTTACTGCTTTTTGCATGTTCTTCTTCAAGGTTTATTAAATTAATTTCTTAAGTATTGACTTTATTATCATGTTGAGAGAGAGAGAGAGAGAGAGAGAGAGAGAGAGAGAGTTACTTTGTCACAAAATCACTGACATCTTGAAGATTCCTTAAATCAGGCACCTCATGCTTCTGGATGACTTTCCTGATTTTGCGAGAAACGCCAAGAGGTTGCAATCTTATAGAGTAATGCCGGAAATCAATCAGCTTTGTGTCTTTGTTGTAATTAAGTAACACAATCCTTTGGCAAGTCGAAAGCTTGACCTACAATGCTCATGTTTGTGAGTGTAAGAGCAACAAAATCAATTGCAGAAACTTATCATAATTCTTTACATACAGTGTTTATGTCGATGGCAGGAAAAATGTTCTGGAACACAACTGTGGTAAGCTTTAGATGCTGATCACCGGTACCAAAACCAGAAAGCACAATCTGCAGACCACATCAAAAAGCTTAGCAAGAATGATGGTGTGAATAGCAAAATCAATTAGATCATATAGCTAATTAAGACAAACTTGATAAACATTTAATCATCAAAGTCAACCAAAAAGTAGCCAGTAAGAATACAGAGAGTATTATTAAAAAAATAAATATACATACCAAGGGAGAATTCTTGAAAAGATCTTGAGGGCATCTTGGGCGAAGCTGAGACTGCGCAATGTCAGCTGCTAATGAGTATTCATGTATCTTGAAGGTAAGTGTTGGTCCCTGAGGAGTTTTTGCAACCCTCAAATAAGGTGCAGATTCTGTTTTTGAAACAATAAGGAAATGTGTGACACCCATAGGCCCAGAAACATTCAAAAAGTCCTTCAGATTGTTCCGTTTCTTTTCCTGTGTCAGAAAAATAATGAAATCAATGTCTTGATATTCACTCATCCCTGAAACCCAAATTGTGTTTTACTCATAGCAGAGAAGAATTGGAAACAAGTCATGCTCCAAAAACTTACCTTGAGCTTGAGAGCGGTATAAGGAAGCATCAACTTTCTCAAGTCCATTTGCAATTGTCTAAGAGGAGGAGGCAACTTCCCCCTCGAGAACACAAAACTTTTAGGAATTTTATCCCCCGTTATATGATCAACACCCATCATTGGCTGCTTCTTCAGCACGTTCTTCGCAAACACATTTTTCTTTTTCTGAATCGAATTAGAAATATTGGTGAGGATAGTCAACCGATTATCGGCATAAATAATTGCGAAAACAATACAGTGAAAGCAAACAGAGAAAGATACTTACATTCCGGAAACGCGCCATCCTAATCAGTATTGCTCACAAGAAATTCCCAAGTTAAGAAGGTTTTTTTCAAATCAATTCAGCTTCAAAGTTGGAAGTTGGAGGCTGCATAAGCGATAGCATTGGAGTGGAATCAACATACAACACAAGCGCACTCCAAAAAGGCAAGTAATAAAAAGGCATACAGCAACAGAACTCAGATGAAAAGCAAACTGCCCAAACTAGCCGACAATGGTGAAACACTTGACCACAAGACACCAACAAAAACTTCAAAAATTTTAGATTCCATTTTGAATACAGGGGGAAAAAAAATTCCTAAAGAATATCAAATTGAAGTCATTAACTTTGTCAACCCAAATGCCAATAGTCAAAACAAAATCAAATGGAAACTTCATCTCTAGTTTTGTTACAGTCCCAAATGTTGCCATCAATCCTCCTATTCGAAACCTTTTATTTACTCTCAGAAAATCTATTCCCAACATTAGCCGATTTCAAAGCTCCCCTTTGCCATTGGAGAAAGAGCTAGCTAGAAGTAAACCAATACCGCAACCCATAATACCAACTCAAATACACCAGAAAGCAAAGTTTATATCCTGCCACAGGCAGCTATATATAATCACATTTCACCATGCCGTTCAAGAGAAAGACAAGTACATCTATAACTAAAAGTGCATTGCCAAGAGAAGAGAACTCATATCACTCCAGGATAAACCACCGTAATTCTTGGGGATTCCTACTTTAGTTTGTGTGTTCTAGGATTTCATGTTAGGGCATCTCCAAATTCAATCTAAATAAAATAAAACCCTAAAATGAATCAACACGCAAACCTCTACAAACAAAAATTTAAACCCATTGATAAAACTGAAACACAACTCAATTCCACTGATGGAGATAAAATACACTGTTAGTAAACATGAAGCTTAACGGCCGGAAAAACAAAACAGAAAAATGGAAACGGACGTTTAGAGAGCAGCGTTTTCCTTTTGCAGGGAGATGGAAGTGGTCCTTTTGGATTTCGGTATTTTGAAAAATTATCCGTATATAGTTTTCAGAATATAATCCAAGGTGAAATAACAAATACCTGCGACATAAATACAGCAGGATCAACCAACGGCGGAGGCGGGAAGGTGGTTGTGGCGGTGGAGCAGCGTCGGAGATGTTTAAAAGAGAGGTTTAAGCTTATAATAGGGTTTTAGAGATTGGGGGCATTTTCTTTTTATTTACAAGAAAGGGCTCTGAGTCTTCGTGTCTCCGTTTTGCATCCCTTCGGTCCTTTCATTTACATATTCGACCTTTACATTTTACAAAGCTTTTTATTTCCTCTATGGATTGTCTTATTTCACTGTTTTTTTTTTTTTAAAAAAAAAAGAGAAATGGATTGCCTTATTTCACATCCATTCTTACCCTTCTTTTTCGAACAACTTTAATTCCCTCAATGTTTTCGATGTTTTTCGAAAAAAAAAAGAATAAAAATCAAAATGTTTTTTTAAGTATGTTTCTTCTAGCTTAACATGATACTAAATCACTACTATTCAAACTAAATTATTTCAAAATATTTATATTTTTATTCTCCTTTGAAAGTTCTTATTGTTTAATTAAAACTATACTACAACAAATGGTGTATGAGAATGCGATGAGCCGGTACTCAGTGTGCGGATCCATTAGTCCCGTTTGTTGAGTTTCAATCCATTTGAATTTTTTTATTTTTTTTATTTTAAAAGAATGAAGTTATAGGAACGATTCTTGAGAGCAAATCGTCTGTCCAGCCCTTTCCTGTCAAATTCTGTCCAGGACTCAAAACGATGTCGTTTTGTCCGGAAAAGGCTGGCCAGATTTTATTTTAATTTTATTTCCCCAATAGCTATCTCTTTTGTTACTTTTACTAAGTGCATGAAAGCAATTCCCCTCTATTCTGGCTGTCCACGTGAAATAATCCCATCTTCATCTCTGCCATTGAAGATAAAGAAGAAGATTAATTCTCTCCCAAATAAACCAGTGCAATTTTCACCCGAAATTAATTCTCATGTCAAAGCCAACCAAACCCCACGTCTTAAAGAAATCCACCAATCATACAACACCCTCCTTCTGCAGCTGCCATCTCAGTCATGAATTGTAGCTGGCCGGCTCAAGAGGTCTCGTCCTCCTACTCCCTTCGAGGCTTCGATCATCCCTAACCACCAAAATACCCTCCTATTTTAGGGTTATGAGGGAAATCTAGAATCCATCATTAGAACTTGAAAATCTGCAGTGATGGAAAGATTGAATACATAGCTGAAAAGGGTTTTGCAGTGTAGCCGGCGATTGGAAAAAAGAAGTCAACGGCAAACGGCAGATGTGAAAGGGGGGCTTTCGATAAGGAAAGGCTATTTTTTATTCTAACCACAAAAGAGAAGAGCGTGAAATGTAAACTGAATTGCTTTTTGTAGTCGGAAAAATTACTCATTTACAGTCGACTGGACATTTTTGTCATTCTCCCTCATTTTCTTCCCCTTCCTCCTTTTCCTCCTTCCTCCTTATTCTCCTTTCTTCTTCTTCACATTCAAACCCAAAAACCCAATCTTTAAACTTAGATCTACAAAGATTTGGGAGCTAAAAAAAGGACGAATCGAGGCAAGAAACATCGGGGAAGCTCGCCCTGTGCACCAGTAAGTTTTTTTTTATCAAAATTATAATCCAAAAATTCATAAAAAAAATAAAAAAATAATTCTGGAATGGGGTAGCTGATGTCGAACCGGCTACCCCTGGTTGTGTAACCCCTGTTGGATCGACTACCCCGGGGAAGGTAGCCGATCCAAGACGGCTACCTTTGGTAGAGTAGCCACCCCCGCTGGATCGACTATTCGGGGGAAGGTAGCCGATCCAAGACGGCTACTTTTGGTAGAGTAGCGGGGAAGGTAGCCGATCCAAGACGGCTACCTTTGGTAGAGTAGCGTAGCTGATCCAAGACGGCTACCTTTGGTAGAGTAGCGACCAAAGGTAGCCGTCTTGGATCGGCTACGCTACTCTACCAAAGGTAGCCATCTTGAATCGGCTACCTTCCCCCGGGTAGTCGATCCAGCGGGGGTTACACAACCAGGGGTAGCCGGCTACCCTTATTTTTTATTTTTTTTTATATTTATTGTGTTTGTTATTATTTTTGTTGTGTTTAGTTTATTTATTGATTTTATTTTTCAATAATTAGTTTTTATTATATTTTGCTATATATTATTGATTGTATTTATTTATTAGTGTTCATGTTATTATAATTTAAATAAATTTGAATAAGAAGTATAAATTATAATTTTAAAATAATATAGTTTTAATTATATTAGTTGTTATATTTTTAATAATTATGGCATCTTTTAATTTATGTATAATAATTATTGCAGTAATAATTTAAATAGGCTATAAGTTAAAGATATTATAATTATTTGAATTTTTCACCGTAGTTTTAAATAAGTAGTTGTTATATTTTAAAACATTTGAGCATGTTTTAATTTATGTGTTATAATTATTTTAGCAATATTTAAAATAGGTTATAATTTAAAGATGTTATTATTATTTGATATTTGATCATATGTTTAATTTATGTGTTATATTAGTTTTTATGTGAATTATATTAATAGTGTAGTTATATATTAATCAATGTAGGTTAAAGAAAAAAGACCAAAAAGACCAGTTGTACCTGATTCTACATTGATGGTTGATTCTGGTCCACGGAGACTTGACGAGATATTTGATCAGGTTAGTCTAAACTGGGAAAATGTTATTGGTGAAGAAAATGTTTCATTCGAGAATTTCGACTCCGATGGATATGATCATTTCGAAGATGACACACCTCCATCTCCACCTCCAATTAGACCTCCCCCCTGTAGTTAGACACCTTACTATTCGTCATGGCGGCAGTGAGTCTGCGGCTGCATCATCACCATCATCAGGTATAATATTTATTTTTTAATTATATTATAATTTTTTTTCAAATATTTTGAAAAAAAATGTCTGATTTATTTTTAATAATTTCAGTGAGCAGAGCCGGCAATTGGATTGTGACGAGGCCAATTAGGGGTGGCTCTCAGGGCGGTTCTATTATTCCCAATTTTCTTGGGCATGTGGCCACTCTCTTGACAGAAGACTCATGTAAAATCCCCTTAGAAATGGATACAAGAATCACATACTTCAAGAAATTGAAAGATTGGAAGGATGGTATAGGGCCAGAGGGGAAGAACTTGTTGGAGCACACAGGGTTGTCCCACATTGCGGGCATCATGCACAACAACATTGATAAGGCACTCATTACAGCATTTGTGGAGAGGTGGCAGTCGGACACCAACATGTTCCACGTGCCTTTTGGAGAGATGGCCATCATGTGTCACGATGTGCGACGGATATTGAGCATTTCCACTTATGGTAGTTTGATTATAGCACAACCTGCGGTTAGTGATTGTCATAATTTGGCCATGAGGTTGTTGTTAGTGCCTGTTGAGGATCTAGTCGCTAGTAAAGCATATCAGGGTGAGGGGATTCAAGGGAAGGAAGTCCTGCAGTATTGCCGTATTGGTCAGTCTGCTCGAGATCAGGCGATTGCCTGGTTATGGCTCATGTTAGGGAACATGTTGTTTACGGATAGGAACGGGACTCGGATTAGAGGGCGATTCTCTCAGAGATTATTGATGACCTAGCCACTTGTCACGAGCTTTCGTGGGCCTCTGCTACTCTAGCCTGAAAAAATCTTTTGTTCATCTGTTACATCATCAGCAATATAAACATCATCAGAATCATCATCATCAGAAGCCGAATCAGACATGTTTCTCCTATAATCTAGTCTGCTCCAAAAAGGATGGATGTCGGCTACTTCAAGGGGCAATCACTCATCAACTATCTGTCTAAGCGCCCATGCACAAGGGATTCCATGAGTCTTTTTTAACACACAACCACAACTCTAGTAAACATCTTCCCCCAGTTCATGCATGTGAGCAAACTCCCTATCAAGGACTTCCAGGCAGTAATGTGAGACACGTTTAACTATACGATCATAGGGGAACTGAAGGTGGGATCAATTCGAACGTCGCACCAACAACCCTAGATTGAACCTGCAATTAAAAATCCTTATTGTTAATCTAATACTATTGATAATACTATTAGTAATACGAAGTGAAATAAAAAACACAATATAAAGTACCTGATCTCAGTGAAAGCATGCTCGATTCCATTATGGATTTTGATCCACATTGTATCTAGCTGCAGGTTCGACGTCTCAAGAAACTGCTTCAAGGCACTATGAGCAGCCTCCACCCTACAATTACTGGTGTTCCCTAAGTGTGTCACCTCATTTGTCCACAAATAAGCCCACTTCTTCTTGTGAATTAACTAAGTGTCCTCGACATACTTCACCAACTTTTCACAACTTTCAGCCTTTGAGTGCCTGTACGCCTTCATCCCTAACATAGCCATTGCACGTTCGTACTGAGTAGGAGCTAAAAGTATCTCTCTGAATACATTATCCATCCACTAAATTGCGAATTCGCTACCACAATAACTATTCGCGTGTGCCACAATACATCTGTCGTTGTGCCACACGCACAGAAGATGTGCAGACTCTGGAAACCACTTACTAATTGGACCTACCAGTCCCAACTCCCTGTCTTTCACTATGGCCGTAGGATGTTCCTCCCACCCAATCAAATTTCGCAACTGCTCCATTACCCAATCATAACTCTTACTCATTTCATCCTTCATAATTGCATATGCAATCAAGAAATTCTTATTAGTTAGAGTCATCTCAATCATTTGGAACAGTGGCATCTTATACCTGTTTGTTCCGTAAGTAGCATCCATACTAATATATCACCTGTAGACTCTGAACATCTGTACAGATACTGGATGTGCCAAAAAAATATTACTCAACACACATGAATCATGATCTGTAAAAATCACATAGCCGTGTTCCTTAGCTACGTAAAAAAACTGCTCAACCGAAGTTCTATCCTCGAAGCTGTCCAATTGCAACCTAATCTTGTAGTTGTATATCTGTTTGAGGGCAACGAGTCGTTAGGGCATTCAGCATTAATTCGCTTCACCATTGCAGGGGGTTTTCCTCCAAACCTCAATATTTCCCTAACAATCTCCTTCGCTTTATCGCTCATCCCACTCATCTGCCTCTGTCCCTCCCTAAATGTACCAAACGGGTGGTTATGCATACCCTTAGGACCTGGTACAGTACGAATGCCAAATAAAGTACCATCATCTCGCATTTCGGTTATAAGCTAGAACTGGCACCCACAACACTGCGACTTCGTACTTCGCACCTTATTCTCCATTTCTCTTGGGAGAATACCCTTTGAACATCTCAATAATTTTGACGTCTCACTTCTCCTTGACGCAATAACAACCTCAAAACCAAGAAATTTCACAGTCTGTTTCGCCCATTCTACAGCATTATCAACAGTATCGAATCTAATGCCAGCCTTGAAATACGAACTATAGTCAATACCATCACCACCATAATCCTGTAATGAAACATAATCAAATTTAACAAACTTAAATATATACATAAAAAATAACTACACAATTAAGTATATTAAATTATGTAAAACACACCTAGTGAACAATTTATAATTTAAATTTAATTACCTTACATGATAGTCAATTAACACTATATTAAATTTCATTTACATAAATAATATAATTTAAATTATATGACATTTATTACACACTACTAATTAGTATTAATAAATACAATACAAAGATGTAATTACCACTACAAAAAATTTAATTTATATAAACAATCGTTATTAATAATATTTATTTTTTTAATTAAATAAAAAAATCTAAACAATAAAGATTGATATTATTCATTCAAACAAACTAATTATTAAAAAAATTAATAATAACTAAAATGAATATAACATAAAACAATTGCAAAAAAAATAAAGAAAAAATAAATTGCTCCGGGGTAGCCGGCGAAAGAGCTAGCCGGGTCAAAACCGGCTAGCTAAACTCAAGGAGCCGGTCAGGGACGTTTGGTTGGTTACCCTTTAAGAAGGAGTCGGTCTAGCTAGCCAGTTTTGACCCCGCTAGCTCTCAAGGGGTAGCCGTTTTGCCGCCGGCTACCCCAGCCTAGAACGGTTTTTTTTTTATTTCATAATATTCAATAAATTTTGGCAAAAAAAATATCAAATTTGAGGCTGAGTCTTCTGGTGCTTGATTCTCTTGTTCCGCGATTTTATTAACCTCTAAATTATTGTAGATCTGAGTTTGACATTATAATTTTTGGGTTTCTTTTCTTTGAGAGTTGAAGAAAAAGAAGAGAAAGAAATGATTTGAAACTATGTGTTTTAGTACTCTTTGTAGTACTCAGGGGTAAAAATGTCCAAACGACTGTAAATGAGTCATTCTTATAAGTGCAAATAATAATACCCAAAGTAAACCAAAAAGTTAAATGAAAATGTGTCCAGACCATTTTTTATAAAACGACACCGTTTTACGTTCTGGACAGAATAAGATAGGAAATGGATGGACATACGATCTGCTCTCGAACCATTTGTACAAGTAAGAAGTAAGAACAATAGAATTTGAGCCGGTGGATATTGAGTATCCCACATCGATGGTGGGAGAGACTTGAAATCAATATATAAGTCTATCGGTTATTCCCTTCATTGCAAATTGGTTTTGAGGTGGAACCCCATGGGTTTCTATATGGTATCAAAATCCACGATCTGTAGACCTGTGATAATAGGACCTATGTGTGCGGGCTTGTGGACTGACCCGGCAGTATATCCGGAGTGTGGACCCGTGTGTACGGGCTTGTTGACTGACCCGACAGTATATCCGGAATTGTGGACTGATTGTATTGTGCAACCCCAATGGGTTTGAGGGAGGGTGTTGGGACAAAAAATTCCATATCGGTGTCGTGAAGGATCTGTCACATGTCAAAAGTCACATTGGACTCCCATCTCAAAACGTGAAGGATCTGTCACATGTCTATAAGTGCCTAAAGCCACCCCACTCATTGCCAAGTGGTTTTGAGATGGGAGTCCAATGTGACTTTTGACATGGTATCAGAGTCAGCCCGCCAAGAGTTGGACTTCAAGCCTGATATGATAGAACTGGTAGGGCTGAAACGTCAGGCGGTGACTAGGCTGAAGAAAAATAGACAATCCCAACCTAAGAAGATGCGTTGGGCTTGCGGGGGAATGTTGAGTATCCCACATCGGTGGTGAGAGAGACTTGATATCAATATATAAGTCTATGGGCTATTCTTCTCATTACCAATTGATTTTGAGGTGGAACCCCATAAACTTCTATAATAGAATCATGTAACTTACCGTGCAAAATTCTCTGCAACATATTTTATTGCATCAAAAAAAGTCCCTCAACATCTCTCGAATACCATAAATAATCCCATAATTCAATCCAAAAACCTCCCTACTCTTACTAAAGTGACGATACTCTGGTTATCACATTCGCTATGATCTTTTCTAGCTCCAATAGGTCAATAACCAACGCAAGCATTAGACCTTGAAATAAACCTCATACCCTTAACATTTATTATAGCGTAAAACTCAATGCTTATCACAAAACTTCCTAACATCTCCTATCACTGTATCGGACAACCCTGTCACAGCTTGCCATTCTTGGACAATTGTTGAGCGTTAAATTGTAATTGGAGCATGTATCGAAAAGACAAAAGGCCCTGCGTAAGTTTACGAGGATTGAACAAAACAACCGTTTAGCAAAATGGTTTATTTTTTACTTTAAAAAAATGCAAATGCAAAAATTGATGAGCAATGATCTCTTTCTCATGTTCAGAATCTATGAGAACCGTTTCCTCGTGAAACCTTTGGTATGATCTAATCTAATTTCTCCCTTTTATAGATAGGGCTTTTTGTGTGTGCCTTTATCATTTACTGCAATCACCGGGTTCTTGCTTTTCTCCCAACTGCCTCCATTTTCCTACGAAAATATAATCCCATGATCCTCTTCCATGTTCTTCGTGAATCTCCCTTTCTCAATTCCTGAATTCCGCTTCAATATCAATCTATATCTTCTGCATTTTTACCTTTATTTACTTTTGAATCAAAGTGATAAATGGCATTGCCGTTTCACAAAACATACTTGTCATTGTGTATGTTATTCGTAATCGGGTCGGGGTTATGGCCGGCTTCTTCTTCTTCCTCGGGTTCGATCACAACGGAAGACGACGTCAGCAGCTACGTTCAAGACGCGTGCAGCGTGACGCGCTACCCGGAAATCTGCATCCACTCGCTTTCATCGTATTCAAACACGGCCAGAAAAGATCCCTCCAAATGGGCAAGAGCCGGCGTGTCCGTCACCATAACCGAAGCCAAGGTGGCGGCTCGCTACGCCTGCCGGCTGAAAACCCGGAACTCCTCCCGGGGCAGGACCCGGGTCGCCGTATCCGACTGCGTGGAGCTGTTTCAGGACACGCTCGATGTGCTTCACAATTCACTCTACGCGCTCAGGAACATTACGTATGATTCTTCTTCTTCTTCTTCATTATCGTCGTCGGTTGTGGAGGATATTATGACGTGGCTCAGCGCCGCCCTCACGAATGAAGACACGTGTCTGGACGGGTTTAATGCCGCCGGCAGCGAGGACTGGCTCCGGGGAAAGGACGCCGGAAAAGGGATTCGGGGGCTCCGGGACAGGGTTTCCAAGGCGAGTTATATGACAAGTAATGCGTTGGCTCTGGTCAACAGACTCGCAAGTTCCGGTTCCCGGAACTAATGACTAATGCCTGAAAGCTGAAATTTATAAGGTTCGAGATAGTATTGAATAATAATGGTATGATTTTTGTAAACAAAATCTAGTACTCCATTTTCTTCCATTTTGTGTGCTTCTAGAGCTTTCTACCGAACTAGGTACTCCATTTATTATGACACAAATATAACACTCCCTCCGTATTGTCCAGTTTAGGTTTTCATTTCTAATTCAGATTATACTTAAAAGTGAAATCTCAAACAGAACAATAATTTTAGAACAAAGAGAGCATGTCTTTAACTAAAATGCTGCGAGATTTTTCTCGATTTATTATAAAAAATTAAAAATAATTTGTTCGGCATAACTTATGACGTATTGAGATAAGATTGATAAATCGCAAAAGGAGGTTAGAAATTCATATGTCGCAACAATACTGAGTTTTGATTGACTTTTCTTTAATGATGATTGAAAGAGCCATTTTCTACATATCGTAGAAGTGTATAATATGTATATCATATATTTACTTTTCGAAAAATTGTAAAAAGACTCACTAACTAGTAAGAAAATATTGGAAGTTCAATGAGAACAATGAGAACCATCTTTATGATAAACTTAGAAACTAAAAACACGGTATAGAAAACACTAGGTGTTAGACCCGTCTTATGGATGGGGAGAACATATATGTATAGACATTACAACACGAGCAAATATTTATCGATATTGTATTTTTATACGATGTTAATTATGAAATGTATAATGACTTCACTGGAAAATATAAAATACAAATCTCAACAACACTTTACCAAATGAATACGGTGGTAATTTATTTAAGGCAGAGAATATTATTAAGGAATTAGTTTTAAAAAGTGAATATAAAAACGAAAAAAAAAAATCAACTTCAAATTAAATAATTATATGTCCTGCAATACTTCTTTATAGACTACGTTTGTAGCCTTGGATTTGAGTTACCATTTTTATCGCATATCAGGATCTTTATTCCTTCTCTCAAACTGACTCTTGATAAGGTGACATATAATTGGTTGTTGATAAAAACTGGATGCGGAAAATATAATCCCACATGCGATAAAATATTGATCTTGACTTTTGTTCATTGGCATTGCAAAACAGATCGCCAAAGAAAATTGCCTTCTGTTTATTCTAAAAGTATATTTAGTATTAGATGGACACAGTGGCATCTTATGTATATATCACATTGCTACCAAGTATTACCTTTGCTTGGATTTATACGTTTTCCCAACACTATAACTCGAAATCTTGTACCATTACATAGTCTAACTGGCTGGTCTCTATTATTAAGCAACATTATCGGAGCAGCCACTATGAGTTTTATATTATACAGAGATAGAAAAGAGTATTTAATATAGTTGAGAAAATAGGGTATGAGCATGCCTTCTCTTTAGTGTTTATACCGTCTTCCGAATTGTTTATGCTATCAGAACTTAAGTATTGAACTTCGTCCTTCTCTATAAATGCCAACATGTGATCATTTATAATTTCCATGTTATCATGCCTTAGTGGTGCCAAAATTGCCCTTTGTCGGAGATAATCAATATTCTCAAGATTATTCAAAACATTGGCGTATGTACTATTGACGATACTGGCAATGGGGTTTCCCTCCGACTGGATTAACATATCTATTGGAATATCAATCTCAGCTTCATCATCATTCAGTTATCCGATTTTACCTTTGCCAACATTCAGAAGCCACTTGAAGAATTCTCTAACATCTTCAATGTTTCCATTGGAAGACCTTTCTCCAAGGCGCATGTTAACAGTCATCTTGAGTATCTCACAATGTTGTCACAAGTAGGAATTTTTTATTGATACATCAATAATATCTTGTCGTCTGCCATTTGGTACCACTGGAAGAATCTATCTAAAATCACCTCTTAGCACAACAAATTTACCTCCAAATGGTCTCTCGAAATTCACTGGATCAATTGATCAAAGAATATATTTTAAAGATTTATTGAGAGCTTAGAAACAGTATTTTTGAACCATAGGTGGTTCATCTCATATTATGAGTTTTGAACACTTTAAAAGAGCAGCCAAATCACTATTAGGCTTGAACAAATGGAGTTTACAGTGATATTTATAGGGATTAGGAAAGGTGAATGTGTAGTTCTGCCTCCAGTCATAAGCAGTGATGCAATACCGCTGGATGCTACAGTAAGCACAATCTCACCCTTAGAATGAATTGCAGCCGATAATGTTTGCCAAATAAATGTCTTGCCACTGCCTCTGTATCCATAAAGAAAGAAAAATCCACCAACTCAATGATAAATTGCATAGACATAATACGTTCATAAACACCTTTTTGTTTCCCAAAAAACTTCTCAAACAACGAATCAAGTTATACCTTCAATTTTTCTCTATCATAATCAAGCTCATCCCATATTAATTTATTGTAGTTACCCCACAATAGATGCATGTTTGGATATGGAAATGTATCAAATTTCTTCAGCGTGCTTCCATTTCTGCGCAGAATAATGTTAATCTCAACCAATGCCAACTTTTTCAACTCCTCATCACTGATTATCAAATCTGCTAATTTTATGTAAAATGAAAATTATACATTAGCAAACTAAACACGGGAATAAAAATTATTTAAAATTTTCAAAACTTAATATTCACACCTTTAACGTCATTAGTTCGCCTCTGCCTTTCTTGAATGTCTTTAATTAGATAATTCGAAGTTGACTTCCATACAAGCTGAACTCTGCTCAAGCTGTCTGCAAGCAATAACATTGAAAACAAAGATCTTAGATAATGTCTTGATCCCATTAACTTGCCTCAGTTATACCATCAATATACTCTTTGTCATCATCCAATAGACCCATTACTTAGCCAGTTCCTTGAAATTCTGTAAATTTTCCTCTCACGTGTACACATGTCTCGTAACATATTGGCCATTTAACTTTATTCAACAATATCCTTAAGTAGTATGCCTCTCCTGCAGATAGAGGAACATGATGTATTATTCCCACGGATTGACCCGTTTTCCTCGGTTTCTGTTCCCGTATATCTTGATGCCAAAAAAACTTTTATGGGAAGTAAATATCACTAAGATACCTTGCATTTTCATAAAGGTGGTTATATCCATGATAATTACTCTGTTTGGTTCGTTCTTTGATCTATTTTTTCAGAATTTTTAATTAATATCTATCCCATTTGAACATACCTTTTTACGTTCCCAATGCACCTTTTTATATTTCTAATATACCTTTTTACATTCCCAATACAAAGAAAACACACTCAAAAAACCATCCAAACATAGCCTTAATATATAGTTGGCTTTAAGATGACAAATTCAAATGAGTTATCTTCGTTAAATGTGATCGGCTAGTCATTGGGAAGATGGAAGGGCAATCTTTCAACCGGAGGATTTCTATAGTGAATATCAAATTTGAAGATTCTCCAAAGTCAAATTTGAAGATATCTGAAATCAACCATGTTATGTTACACATAAAATCTCATTAATATCTAAAATGATTAAATGCACATATTCAACTTTTTTCCTTTTTCCATTTAATACATGTCAAGTCATTCTCAGTGAGTGTCTTAATATATCTATATATATATATATATATATTAAAATTTTCATCCTTAATATAATACTCCGTTTTGTCTTAGAAAATAGTCCAGTTTAAAATACTAAAATATATAATCATGATGGGTTAATTTTTCAAATTATATGTCCTCTGATCAAATTTACAAATAAGCGTTAGATGATATTAATATCATATGTCCAATTTTGATATTTTAATTTCTGAAATTGAATTAATGTTTTGTAAAGGGGTAGCATCTAATTGTGTTACTTATCTATTAATTTTTATTTTATTATATTTTATTTATTTATTTTGCATTCTCCGTATAACAAACTCAACTCTATCCCATTTCAAAATGCTGACTGATTTTAGACATTTTTTTTTAAGTTAAGCTGATGGAAATATTTTTGTTTACCGTTAATAATATCATATAATTTTTTTATTATTTACATTTACTTACTTTTAAGTTATTTATTTTGCATCTTCTTGTTGTTTCACCTGTTTATTACCTTGTTTTTGTTTTCCTTCTTTTGCATTTTCCATTACATCATCCGTTTAATCCAAAATCACAAGGTTAATCACTCATTTTGAATTGGGTTTGTCTCATACTTTTGTACGGGTCATAAATTAATAATCTACTAATAACAAAAACCTTTGTAAATAATTTGTACATTTAAGACATGCATTCAAAAAGCAATAAGTGTATTTATCTCCAAGGATATGCATACCCATGTATTGATTATAAAGTTTACTAATTACTCCCTCGGTCTCAAAATTATTGTCCAGTTTGAGATTTCACTTTTAATACAATTTGATTTAAAAATGAAAACCCAAACTGGACAATAATTATGGGATGGAGGGAGTAGTTTTTTTTTCCCAAGATTACTATTTTAGATTAGAAATGAAATGAGTACTCTCATAGGGACATAATTAACTATTACTTCCGTCTCAAAAAAATAGTCCACATTGAGTTTTTAAATTTATACTAAAAATAGTACAAAACTCAAAACTTAATGTGGACTATTTTTGTAGGATGGAGGTAGTAAATTTTTTCACTTTGCCTAAACTTTACCCATTTTTAGAGAATTCAAAATAAAAGTGACATGAGTATTTTAACGATTTTGGGTTACAACACAAACTAACGTCATGATTGTATTTGGGCCTGAAAATTCGTTCCAAAGAAAAAAAAAACTATTGTTGTGTCATTATGAAATCATTTGGAACTGGGACATTTGTAATAAAATTAAGTTCGAAATTGGACAAACATTTAAAGAAGAAAACTATAGGCCTGGTTGATATTTGTTGATTCAACTTATCTTTCCGGATCTCATTGTTGCTTTGATTTGTTTCTAACACCTTAGTTAGTGAATGCAATTTGCCAATAGTTAAATAATAAACGTCAAAGGTAAAATTTATTTTATACTTTCAAAAACTAAACTTATACTACTTCTGTCCCAA